TGGCTAATAATCATTTTTGATTAATGATTAAAAATGTTATTGTGTTATCTAAATTTTATCATTGATAATAAATACAATCTTTGTAATTATAAAAAAAAAACTAGTATTATCATGATGATTCATAATTCATGAAGAACCTAAAGAACTAAGTTCATGCTTAGAATATTTTAATATTACCTATGGCTTAATGAATGTTAAATAATTGATAAAATAAAATAATTGTTTATTATACGTTTACAAAAATTTGAACATAAACATTTGTTTTGTCTTGATGACTTGATCACAAAGAGCTGGGTAATTACTTGTAACTCGTTAGCGACTGGACGAAACAAAATGATCGAATCAATTAAGTACTAAATCGCGAATGATGTCCACAAATCATACGGTCAAATAGGTTTTAAAGTCTTTTGACGATCTTGAATAAACTGTTCTTTGCCACAAATTAGTATATCAGTAACTGAGGTCTGAGACTTGGTTTATTATATAAAAAGAGCGAAAAATATCAATTTTTCTTTGACATAAACATTAATACATTAAACTGATTAAACAGAGGACGCCGAAGGCCAATTGATAAAAAAAAAAACTGGTTCGGTATCCGGTGTTCTTGCATCTGTCAAAACAGAATGCATTCCGAACAGTTAGAAGTAAAGAGTGATGTCGTTTTTAAATGTTAAGGTAATTTACCGTTAGACTTTATTGATTTTTATTATAATTATCTAAATGTTGATATTTGCGAATGTCTATGAGAAAATATTCTTTTAACATCAGATTTTCCAAGATCAAATCCGAATGTTTATATTTCCAAAAAGGTGAGCAAGCGTTGTACAGACAGTACATAGCTATCAAATACTTCGATTCTCGATTATTCGAGTAGGTCACTGTAATGAATGTACCTTTATATTATGATTTGAATTCAATAATAAATCATTATCCATTGCTCATCTCATTGTATACGAAAAATAATTCTGAGGAGAGATCCGATTAACAAATTGATATTTAAGTTATGAAAAACAAAAAAAAATTATATATTCAATCTTGGATAAGAAATAATGTAAAGAAAACTAATACGATAACTAAGGGTAACTACCAACAAGTTCCTATGTTATGATTTAAAAAAAAAATGATCTTAAATTCAATCTAACTGATGGACAAAGTCATTGAATTGTTCGCTGCATTTAGGTCTTTAGGAACACACATAACGACCTGTTGACGAAATAAGATTTCGTTTTGGGAACACACAGAATATGTCTATTTCAATATTATGTTCATTATTATTAATTATTTTAGTCATTAGTCATTGCTCACTCATTGTCTAAAGTCTTAAGTCTAAGTCCGCCAAGTCCGGTGTATTCCTACTGTTACGGGAGATCGGGAGAATGATAATTTTCTACATTCCTTTAGTCCTTTGTTTGAAAAATTTTGTTGAGAAATTGGTTTAGTTTTACTAAGTATTCATTGCGATATCAACGTGGATGTTAATGATCTTATTTATAGATTGACTTGTTAAAAAATCAAAACGAAAAATGAATGATACCTATACATCTATATAATAATTTAAAAAATATAGATTTCAACTTTTAAAATCGGCGCTGTAAAATGGCAATAAAATGTTTAATGTATGTTTAAAATAAAAACAAACAAAATTCAAAACAATTAATTGGTTACATATTTTTTACCTAACCTGCCATAAGGACAAAAACCCCGATAATTCGACAGTTAAATTATGTGATCACTGAACAGCTATAACGAGTGAACACTGCAAGACTAAATTTATTTATTAAATTATGATCACGGACTAATATATAATAGACTTCTATGGAGGAAGAATAGCCACCTAATTACTAAATTAATTATTACCAAAAGGTTCCTCAAACAAGAGACTGAATGTTTTCATAAGGTGTTTCACGACTAAATATATAGTAGGATACATTATTTATTTATTTAGAATTTAATGGAGCCCTTCCACAATAAATATTGTAGTATAAAGACTAATTAAATAAAGAACATTATAGAATAAATGTACAACACTAAATAATATTAAAACTTTATAAATATATTAAAAAGATACAGATTAACAAGGGCTAACTAAAATTATAATTTTTTTTTTAAAATAATATTTACTTACCTAAGTGTAATAAGTATCAAGAGTTGTGTTAAAAAAAATCTGATGCAGTGGAGACTAATTTCAAAGCTCTTCCAAAAGCCAAAAAGGAGTCATTAGTTGATTGTTGATTTGAACTTAAAGAATAAGCTGGCAAAATTTTAATTTTTCGTATTGTAGGAGGGAATACCTATGGAAATTAGCCTGAGTTACAACCTTAGGGCATACTGTATAATAATTTAACAAGTCATGTACATTGTACGAACATAAAATCAAACATCTATCGACTGTCGTCTTAGGTAGAGAGAGTCTAAGTTAAATAAATTTTGAACTCGGATTATTATAGTCTTTACATATGGGAAGGTTGTTTGTGTACATAGGCGTACGCAAGGAGCGATTCGGGCAAGCCCAGGCTCGATCAAAACCTTTTTGGGAGCTTAGTAAAATACTAAATAGCCATAGTAAAATGTGTATATATATTTTAATATATTCGTGGAAATCATTAAAATTCGGTGGCTCCAAATTAGTGGCGCAACAAGGGTTAAAATTCTAGGAGGGGGAACAAAGGCCCTCAAACCAAACCATAAACTCCACAGTCCCAGTTTAAAAACAGATATTTTTGCGTCAATATATTTTATCAAAGATAATCATTATCTCTATATATAGAGCTCAGATGTTGATTAGTATCAACAAAATATCATTCAAATGTGCATTTAAAAAAGTCAAAATATGCAATTATATGCCATAAACTATATTAAATATACCTATTTCTTTAATAAATGTATGCAAAAAAAGGGTTACTATTAATTTTTAAAAAAATATGTACTCTTTTATTTATTTATTTATTTTATTTATTTACTCTTTTATTTAAAATTACTTTATTACAAAATACACAGCTATAAAATATGAAAAAAAAATGATAAATTAATTTCCGATCTATTTATAAGTTACATTTTAGTATTTTACAAAGGTTTAGTACTTTAAGTATCAGGATTACATTATAGTCCGAACGCCAACGAACAGGAGTGAATCTTACCGAATATTCAGTAGTGTAAAGTAAACGATTTGCCGAACGCCATCGAATTGGCGCCGAACGATTCGTTCGCGTTCGGTGACGCTCGCTCGGGTGGTTTTACAATAATATTTACAATTTATTACAATGACATTTAATTTAAGCAATTTATAAAACTTTTAAGTCGCGGCACCAGTTCCGCTTGAGTCGTCTGGTTGGATTTCCGGGAAGTGCTGGTKTAGCAAGGTCCTTGATGAGCTGGTTGGGGTTGGATTGAAGTTTTGCGTGGAAGCGTTTGTAATATAGAGTGGCTTTATACGTGATTTTTACGTATATTGTCAAAATTAAAATTTTAATGCTTGTAAAAAAAATTGTGACTATATATTTCTTTTACTTTTCAATTGCTATTGTAAAAATATATTAGGAGCCTTGTGCCCTTGTATTCAATTTTCAAATCTCAGGTATAAACGGAAATAAAAGGATTTTTTATGAATTTCTATCTAAGATAATTTGAACATTGCCATAATTTTTACGTATTTAGTCAAAATTTGAACTTTAAATGCTTATAAAAAAAATCGTGCCCATATATTTTTAATATTTTTCAATTGCTATTGTAACAATGTGTTACTAACAATGTAACTGAAGTCGAAAATCAAAGCACTTTAACTGACCTAAAACGTGATGACAGACACAAAAAAAAACACACATCATGGTAAAATCAATAATATTCCTCGCTTCGCTAAGAATCTAAAATGAAGACAAAATGCAAAATTTTTAATATTATATTTATAATTTGTAATATATATGCTAAATAATAATCTAGAAATAATCAATATACCTACGCATTTATATACTCAAAAATGACAATTATGCAAACTAAGTTTATATATTAGTAATCTAGACTTCATGAATCGAATTTATAGTTACAAGTTACAATTAATCGCGATTAATAATCATGATTACTGTTACTACGATTAAAGCATAATATTTGGTGAAATCGGCCCTAAAACTATTTAAGTATTAAGACTTATAATATCTATGCTTACAAGTTACAACGCCATCTGTATAAATATAGGCTGAGAAATGAGATACA